CCCCACTTCTAACCAATATTTAAAATTGCGTATTCGGGTATTGAGTCATTTTTCATTCGTGAGGCGAGGCGTAAGCCTCAAAATCAAAAGATTGCGTAAACATAAAATGATAAATTTTTTATATACTAATGAGTGAATAATATAAAACATAAAAAAACATAAGATATGAAGTAAAATCAAAATATCCCAATAATAAGACAACATGAAATATAGTTCAACTCAAAATTCTATCTTTCCCAAATCCCATTATTCTTTTCATTAACCTATAATTCCAATTTTCAAAATTAATAGCAATGACATATCACATAAGAACTCATAAGTCTTCAGCACTGTCATCACTAAGGGGTTATTCATTTGAATCATCATTATGATGAACTTCTCTCTCCCCTTCCTCCTCTCCTATAAAGTCTAATGTAGGGCATTTACTTCAAGATTTATGTAAGTTTTAATATATATAGCGTGAGGCGAAGCGGGCCTCAACCAAGTTGAGGCGCAAGCCTCATAAAAAAACTTGAAGCGTAAGCATCGAGGCGTTTTTTACTGGAATTGTGCAAAGGCGGGCCTCAAGGCGAGCCTCATATTGTGCAATTTTAAACCATGCTTCTAACCACTTCAGTCTACTCGGGATCGCTGAGAAGACGCAACCCATGATTGCTAATCAGATTCCCTAGACTCTACGGTCAATGATTGTTTGTGTTGGTAGACTGAAATCTACGGTATACCCGGGACGACGGAACCATAGGATCTTTATCTGGTTTACCTCCATTTTTCCCACAATTGAGACTAAATTACCTAAAATTTATTCATCCTTAATCGAGACTCGAGAGTTCTCACTTATGTGTTAAGCGGAGTAATTAACTATGAGTGCTTACTCTCATGGGAAGTAAGGACCCAGATCTAATTAAACCCTGACATTACACTCAGGAAAATATAGTTAATTGTAATCTGACTTAAGGGAAATGGAATCCTACAACTGCAAAGCGAGATTCATTCATTCATTTCTTGAGCCAACAATCAATAATACCTTTCTATTTTTAGGACAGATAATACCCTTTAGGATATTCAGTATCTTCAACAACCCATCCTCCGCCACTGTTAGATCACTTATAATTTTGAATGCTGGCGGTTTAAAAGTCTGAAATAACTTTAAATATCGATATACTTCACTATTACTATTAGATCCGAGGCCATTGCGAGAAGAAGATTTCTTCATAGATGTTATTTTATCTACCACTTTTGAGATCAAATGCATATTATCTTGAATTTGCTTATACTTATTTCTCTCATTCATTCATGTTTCTATATTTGGATTGGATGACTGACCAGTCTCTCTTTCTGATAATTCCTCATACATAATTATCTGTATGCATATAGATAATTCATTTAATACATGTACTCGTGGTAATAAACAGGATCATTTTAAAGCATTAAATATGCCTACTATGCAGGTATGTTTATTGTTATAATGAATGCATGATGCATGTAGATAATTTATATAATACATGTACATGATCATTTTAAAGCATTAAATAAGCCTATTATGCAGATATGTTTATTATTAGAATGAATGCATGTATAGTTCTATTTAACATTGATTCAACTTATAACTCTATATGCATCAGATTCATTATATCTCATCCTACTTTATTTTCTAAATATAATTATGCTTTCATTTAATTTTTATTTAGGCTTTGATACCAATTTGATTTCACACTCCTTTTTGACCTCCTTTCCAATCAACCTCGATTATAATAGAGAAGGAAAATCTTGAAAAAACCTCTTTTTACTGGCACTTATTTTGAACTTCTTCTATCATAATCAGGTGAGTTAAAAGTAATCTATTCAGACTCTGCTATCCTAACTAGTTTTTGTATCTTATAACAAGAAGCATATTTAAGACATCTCAAACAAAATACAACAAGTAAAATACAGAGCTTTACTATACATTTTAAATTTCTTCTACATACCTAAACATCTCTGTAAAACCTCCACTTGGGCCTCTATATATATATATATATCCAAAATTTATGTACACAAAAAAGGGCAGTCCTCTTTCAGTTTAATGCTCTACTGGCTCCTTCCCCTTTCTTACAGTATAACCACTACAAATGAGCTAGGGCTTAATAAAATATGCAAGCAAAGTATAAGAAATAATAATGAACATATTGGCAATTAAAAACAAATGTGAATTTTCATACTAAACATAAGAAATACATAACATCACTTTTTGTTATGTTTATTGTTTAACACCTTTGTACCAATCATATAATGATTATAGGCTTATGCTCCCTCCAGCTTTCTTATTCAAGGTTGGGTCTGAATTCCCAACTTTTAAAATTAAAATTACTCTCTCATTCAAGTTTGGGTCCGAATTTCAAATTTTTAAAATTTTAAGAATGTAATTGTAATAACCGGTTCGGTCCGGCCAGTTCAGTCGAACCGGCCGAACCTATTATAAGCAACGGACAGAGCCGTTCGCGAAACAGAGACGGTTTCGCGAACTGAGAAGGGCGGACGGTCGGGACTTCACGCGAGAGCAAGGTAGTATTCGTTTTCTTCCAATTTTAGCAAACGAATGCGATGGAGGGAGAATTTTAACAACTCCTTTTCGTTCTTATTGTTATAGAAACAAAGGTTGGAGAGAATTTGCAACGAAAGGAAGAAACGACCGAGGAAAAATAAGGAAAAAGGTTTGTTGAAATTCTTTCGGATTTTCCTATAAATTTCTTCTCCTACTTCATTTAAAGTGAACAATATATTTCTTGAAGGTTAGGGAAGAGATTGTAGCGAAGAAAAAAAGGATTTGGGAGAGAAGGGAATTTGAGAGTTTGAGAAATTCTCATTTGTAAGTGAAATTCTTTTTATATAAGTTTATTATGAGATTATAATTTTAAGTTTTACATGAAAGTTATTGTTCGAATTTTAGTGTTTTAGAGAGTGAAAGATCAAGTTGTATGTGTTGATTCCGCGAGAATTCAACAGGAAGAAGGAAATTGATTCAAGGTTATATCAAGCATCGACGACCTGAAAAGTTCAAAGTGGGTAATTATAATTATGAAATTCAATTTTTAGCATTATTCTTCTGTTTTCAAAGTTTTAATTTAAAGACTACAATGTATGAAATGTTGAAAGATTTAATGCTTAAGTAATTGTAATCATTATTACAATAAGAAATATATGAATTGAATAAATATGAATGATAAGAAAATACCATATGTATTAAAGAAGTATTGAAAAGAAACGACATACGAAATAGAATAGAAATGTTATGGTAAATGTAAAAGAAATGATATATATGAATATTTCAGGAGTTCACCCCCTTATGGTACTGGCTGGGGACGTCGTACTCGTGCACGAAAATGGAAAAGGAAAAGGCTATGGAAATGGAAAAAGGTTATGAAAATGGAAAAGGAAATCAAATGGAAAAAATTGTACCTTCAGGCACTTTGAGACGGTGCTCCTGTGCAAAGAAAATGGAAAGAAAAGAAATATGAATGAAACATTAAAGCTACAAAATGTTTTATATTATTTTGAAAGAAATTATTCAGAGATGTATAAAGTATTGAAAAGAATGAAGTAATGTAAATAAATAACGATGCCTAATAAAGAATAATTATGATGATTATTATATAATTCCCACTGAGTTTACTTAGTAAACTCAACCCACGAGTTTAAATGTTTCAGGTAAGTTCCTAAAGAAGTAATGATTGAAAGAGAAGAACATGTTTACAGAAGGCGACGTGCAAATGACAACAGGTAAATTAAATTTTGTGTTTAGTGGCTCTTTAGTACAAATGAAGTAGTATTGTTTAAGACATTTTATCGTCCGACTTTCGTACCCGCCTCATTAGATCGAGCACCCGGGCCGGGTCGTGACAGTAAGTTTACCTCGTCAGATCTTTCACCTTTACTTATGTGGGCATATTCCCAATATATGACTTGTTTCATAGTTCCAATGTCTTTTCTTTTAACAATCATAAAATGTGCTTTGATAATCACTATTCAATGAATCAACATATTTATCCATGTATAAATTGGAATAAAATGTTATCATAAACTTAACAATGTGAGTTTGCAATTATATAAAAGTTTACTATTTTCTATGACATTGTTTCGGTATCTCACATCGTTTTTCAAAACAGTTGGATAAACTGGTTCACCCATAGTACTCGGAATCCTTTTCCTTTTGTAAACAACTTAAACATACATTTCTTCATTTTTTTTTAAGGATACATTTCTTCATTTAGACATGCTAATAAATAAACAAAACAAGCAATATGTGTATCTTACAAATTATCTAAAATGTACTCTTCTTCGTTCCATTCAAAATTCTCTTGCCTCTCATAAACTTTTTTCTCTACTTTCTTTTTTTTTTCTTTTTAATAACAATAACCCTTAATTATCATAACAACTTTTACAAATAACAGCATACGAAATCTCATTAACGATTCGTTAATGCTTGATCCAAAATTTGGCCATTTGGTTAAATTTGGCTATAGAATTAATTTGGACTACAAATGCAATTTCTCTGTAACGCACAATTTTGATATGTAACATCTGATAGCGCAATCACAACTTTGAGCAATATTAGCACTAAAATATGATCCCTTATTACAAGCAACAACTAAAAATGTAAAGAAAAAAATCATTGTAATGCAATGCTTCGAAAACTTCATTAGCTGTAGACTTAGAACTTCACATCAATCAAAATGCAAGAAAAATTGTCATTTTTATTATTGAACTTGTATGCTTTTTTCTTATTATTTCTTATGATGATTCATTTTTATTTTATCTTGGATAGTTTTAATGTCAGTTGTTTTTCTGATTAGAATTAATCTGTACACTTGGTGCTTTTTTAATTTTTATATTTTTGCTAAATCCTTCTATACTGTATCTAGTATTCAGCTTTTACTTTATAAGCTTAATTGCACCTTTAGTTTTTATTGGCTTCTTGTTGCTTTGTTTCTTCTATCTTAACCATGCTTTCCTTGTATACGCAGTATCAGGCCACAAAGTTGTTGAATTGCCCGCAGAACTTTGTGTAGTTCTGATGTCACCTATCTCTGTGAATACTCTACGGGCGTTTACCTTCATTCCTTCAGTCATGCACAGATTTCAGTGCATGCTTCTTGCAGCTAGATTAAAGAGCATACAGTTGGAACATTGCAAGGAAAATACAGTAATTAGTCCATTGAAGGTACTATTTTCCGTTGCATATTTGATTGCATTATTATTATTACTGCTAGCATCATCGTTGATTTAATCATCACCCTTGATGAAACATATATTTATATAATTTATTCTACTCGCTGTTTTACGTTTTAAATTAGACCAGCAATATCCTAATATCCAAATGAATATTTCTGCCAACTTCTTCTAGTCATCTAAGTAAATGTTCAACCATAAACTTGGTTGTTGAAACCTACATGAGGCGGCCTAGAAATAGAACTAAACTTAATAGAACTAAATTAAATAGAACTAAACTAACCTTGTAATTCCAATAAACCCGTTCATGTTGGAGCATGTAAATCATATGTTGAAATTTTTTTTCTAATCTAGCTTATTCAAGGAATAATGTGAGACTTAGTGAATTAATATACTTGTTAATCATTTAAGGTAAAAAAAACAATTATAATCTCCTTAAAATATTATTACTTTTTGATAAAATGATGGTCTATTTCTGTTTATTTAGTCCTCTCATAAAAAATTGAGTAGAGGTAATATGCTATGTTGGTTGACTGTCACAAGCAAACTTTATCTTGCTTGTTTCTTCAAATTTTAATTCTTGTAGCAATTATTTCAGCCATATCATTTCAGAATTGGTCATTACCATTAATTTATATTTAATCATAGTAATTGACCTAGCGACAACATCCTTTCTTACTAATCCAAGATGCCAAGTTGCTTGCAGTAAGAGCACATTATCTGTGGGGCTAGTAAAAGGATATCCCATCAACATTGTGTTAATGTTGCTCAAGTTTAAAATTATGCAATCGGGTATTGAGGTTTTTCTGTTTGTGAGGCGAGGCATAAGTTTTAAAATTAAAAAATTGCAGTGTAAATAAAAGTTAAAAGTGTTGCATAATAATTAATTATGTTAAAATATAACATATTAACTTTCTTTTAAAAATGAAGTAACAAATTGACATGCATATGAAATAAAAAATTTCACAAGGTGTAAAGTGACAAATTATAAATTGTATGAAATAGAATTGAAATCGAAACACCACAAGAATAAAAAAATATAAAATATAGGAATTGCATAAAATACCATATAACATCAAGTTTATAATACTCTAAAAATTTCCAAAAAATGCAAGCATGATTTTTGGCATAAAATAAAATGTATGATAAAAAAATATAATAAAATAAAAGAAAAGAGAGCGAGAAAAGTGGAATGAAATAATTTTCAAACAGGTGTCGAAGACCCCGGCCGTCGTACCTTAGGTCCGACCGGGATGGTTTAAATTTTGAAGACCATACGCCGTCGATCTTTGATCCGGGTATGATGATTTTAAAATTTGAAGACCCCGGGCCGTCGCATCTTAGATCCGGCCGGGATGGTTCCAAATTGAAGACCTCACGCAGTCGATCTTAGATCCTGGTGAGATGGTTTGAAAACGAAGACCCTACACCGTCGACTTTAGGTCCGGGTAGGAAGAACTACGGCAGTGCCGTCCCGATTTCTCCATCGGTGGGGAGATGCCGGGAGGCTGTCGAAATTTTCATTGAACAATACGAGACTTGGACAAAAAATTAAAAAAATTGATTTGAACGAAATTCAAATATAAAATCACTTTTAAATTAATTTTGAACAAAGAATGTTGGACTTAAATCCGAATTAGACTCAAATCTGAATTCGAATTAAAATTGAATTGATATTGATATGTGATATATATGAAATGAGTTTTTAATCAGAATCTCACACTCCCATAAATAACAAAATTATTTGAGCCACTATTAAATCATGATGGATGTTAATTTCATAAACAACTTGAGAAAGCTTGGGAATATTTTAAATTCAGATTGATGAGTGATAATAAGCATCTTGCTCCAAGAACTGTATATGTCAATCAACATAAAGATATTTGTGTTAATTTAAAAGTTAAAGGGGCGCACATCTAGCATTTTAAATACTGAATAGTCAAATGCTAGTACATTTGTTCCATTCCATACTTCCTTAAAACTCTTAATGCTATTCTAGAAAGTTTGATGTCAAAGAGAAGTTGACTCGACATTTATAAGTAAGTCTACATAAGATGAAGGAAATATGAGGATTACTATTGAATCAAGTACTTAAGCCAAACTTAGAAGATCATGTGTTACAAGTAACTTAAGTTGCGATGTTAGAGAGAAAATGGTCTTATAGCTTTAGTGATAGATAACAATATCATCCATTATCACATAAGCAATCGCATGTGGGCCACAAGATACCCTTGATATGTGGTCAATAGTTTCCTAATATATGTTCGATAGTCTCCTACGAACACAATCTTCTAACATCTATCGAGTAAATCTCCTATAGAAATTATGCCAAATGATAATAAAGAAGACAAAATTATTTGAAATGTCAAAATACATCTTTCATCGAGAGTAACGCCACCGGATCCGCAACATGTGTGCAAGCAGATAGAAGGCGTTCGTAAGCCCCTTAAATGAAATTTTGGGCATTTCCTAAATAAAATCACTCTCGCAAATAGATCATTTTTAAATATTTTAAAATGCCCCCCTTATGCATTAAATATGATCCCTTAAATTAAATAATACCTGCATGTGCTCCGATAGAACTATTAAAGTTATAAACTCAAATCGTCGAGAATGCTGCGCAGGGTCAAATACTACAACCCGCATGTGCTCCGATCGTCGCATATAAATCTCAAATCCAACGATCCGAGAATGCTGCGCGGGTTAAATATTCAAGTTTCATCCTCATTGAGAAGACTGGAGTTGACACGACTTGAATTGCAAAATGCCTCCCAAAATCCTATGAAAATACAAATGACCTTAATGTCACCCCGATGATGGCCGTGTTGACTGGAAATATCAACCGGAGGGGTCAAATCTCAAATCAAATAACAACTCAAATTCTTGGAATAAAATCAATCACCTAAAAACTCAAAACTAAAAAAAATCATGCACCTCCCGCAACCGTTTGTCGGGGGTGATAAATTTGAAATTAACCTTAGCTCACAAAGAGCGAATGCATGTCGGGTGTATTACTTTGATTCATCCTCAAATAGTCTCTTGCCAACAAGGACGTGGCACGTGCCCTCTGATCGGGTGGTTTTGCCGCAAAATGGCACCATTATATTACGATCACGGCCAAAGCCCGTATGTTCCCTAAAGGCGTCAAACCCTTGAGTTATGAATCATAGGGTATATCTGATAGGCATAAAGCCTTATGTTAGCTAAGGTGGATTCAGATATATCCCCTTAGACAAATACCAACCCAGGTCTACAAGGTATTCTTGGACGAAGCAACCCATGGCTGCCGACAAGGTGCCTTCTATCAGGTTGGGTCGACTACCTCCTCTGACTAAGTAGACCAGGGATCATGACAGCCCGGGACGACGGAACCATGGGATCTTGATCGGGCTCGTCTTCATTCCCCCCACCACCAGTTTTAAGTTTATGGTGATAAACTTTAAATTCTAAACTTCAAAATTCAAATCATAATATCAAACCCTAAATTTGTTGCTATTATACGATAGGTTTATAACCTATTCGACCCCTTTTAATGACTAGCCTTAATCGAAAGTTCTCTCTTGTTATCAGGAGGGGTTACATATCACAACTCAAGCCTTAATTTTTAAAACGCCACCGGATCCGCAACATGTGTACAAGCGTACAGAAGGCGTTCGTAGTCCTTAAATGAAATCTCGGGCTATTTTCTAAGCAAAATCACTTGCATAATGGATTATGTTTAAATATTTTAAAATCCCCCTTTATATATTAAATATGATCCCTTTAACTAAATATACCCCTACATGTGCTCCGGTCAACATGTTAAAAGTATAAATACTAACGACCGAGAATGCTGCGCAGGGTCAAATGCTACCAATCCGCATGTGCTCCAATCGTCACATCTAAGTCCCAAATCCAACGATTCGAGAATGCTGCGCGGGTCTATATTCAAGTTTCATCCTCCTTGAAAGGACTGGAGTCGACATGACTTGAAGTATAAAATGCCTCCCAAAATGGTCATCGTCACACAAACATACTTAAAAATAAATAGACTGATGACGTGGAGAGGCCGGGATCAATCAAAATGGAATTTTCGGAGCCCACATATACATGAGGAAAAAAAGTTGGGCATTTTAGGCGAACAACTCTACCCGATTAACCTAGAGAACGGGTGAGATACCCAAACTGTGACATATAAAATAATAACATTTTTATGTAATTGTAACAACATTTTTATATGATTGTGATAGCATTAATTCCAGTTTCATCATGTATTTGTTTACTAGTTCATTAGCTGAGTCACGGGATATTTATGTGTACGTTATAAAGTAGATTTACGTCCATATGAAGTACGCAATAAAGTACGCATATGTGTACATAAAGTACGCATATGCGTATTTTATTGCGTTTTATATGCGTACTTTATTGCGTATAATATGTTTCTCTAAATTAATTATAGTTTCTTATTCTACGTAGATTTACGTCCATCCTATATCATATAGATGCTATGTTTCGACTTTCAGAACAATGTGTGATACATTTTCAGATATAATTCCTGTTGAAATTGAAGAAAAATTGAAGGACCTTAATATTTACCAATTTCTTCAATTTTCTGGATTTGAGCAAAATGCCCCATTTATCTACCAGCTGTTAACAATGTGAAACATTGAAAAGCAAAGCTTCATTATAGAGGGCCATGTTGTCCCTTTCACAGCTGATGAAGTGGCCCTCTTGACTGGTCTACCAAACATAAGTGAGGAGATTACTTGGATGACCTTGCCGACTTCAACAATCACTTCAAAGGATATTAAGACTGAAATGCTGGAGTTGACACGAGAAAGCTCCCCACAGCATATGTTGAAAATTTTTATTATGTATTTATGTTCTAATTTATTTTTTCAACAAAGCAACTTTAAAGTGCCAAAGATGTTAAAGACAATAGCAAATAATGTTGATGATTTTTCATCAATTAACTGGGCATGGTCAATTTGGGAATGCCTGGTTGAAGATTTT